AAAAAATCGATGAATGTAGTCAGTAATTTTTGAAAATCAATATTTTATCCGTAATCAGCATGCTCACCTACCTCCTCCCCCCCCCCCTCCCCCCTCTGTGCCAACTCCCAGTCTCGTAGCTCGAAGTTTGCAGAAAAAATCGACATCGCTATCGATCGATAACGAGAAATAGCCTAGGACGCCCGTTCCACCCACTTTCTACGATTACTACCTATCATTAGATCGTTGCATGAAACAAGATACGTTACTTTTAAACCATTTTTGATTTCTCGTTTGAAAATCAACAAGGCATAATCATCAGGGTCAAGCGGGTGTGGCATGCCACACTGGGGTTCGCATCAAGGTGTAGGTGGGGGGGGGGATTGAGAGGTGGTCCTGATGTTGACGATAACATTATATTCGTTAATATTGTCGGTTAAGCTCATTAGGCAAAATACAGCACAATAATGATTTGCTTGCGATCGTGTACGAACAATCTTATATTAGGTTGTGTAATAAGTTCGTTCGCATTTTTTCTCTTAATTTTTTCTCAATGTTTTGTAAGGATTTGGCAAAAAGTTAGCATGCGTTCGAAAGCTTTAAGTCTGTTATACCAAAATCCCGTTATTGTATTCTATTTTCAGGTCTCAAAAAGGTGAATAAAAAATTCGATTACAAACTCTGAGAAAAATCTGAGAAGGCAAAAAAATCCATTTTCGACATTTTTTTCTTTCATAGTTTTCCAGTTGTTCATTGTTAAACTTATTCAAAAACTTGACAAAAAAAACAACTGCTAATTCACTTTTGCACTTACTGAAAATGTATACGATTGAATGCAATTTTTGCCGAAGCAGGTAGCAAGATTTTGCAGCGGCGTTCGTCTTTTCGCATACTTAAAATGTGTGTCCCCCAAATTCTAAATTTTTGAACATGTAATCCATTTACTCGATGATTTAAAAGCATAGACCACATTGCCTGCCGACTGGATTGTTCGGTTGTCACTCTCTATCAAAGGTGCCTTCAGGTGCTTAACGTTGACGCCGAAGAGACATCAAAATACATATCTATCTTTGAGCTTGCAGTTAAAATTTTTGAAAGATTTCAGCACTTACTAGTAATTTGTGAAAGCTACAATATTCTTATCATACACGTCGCAAAATTTCCGAGCTGTTTCTTAAGCGTTCAAACCCATTTGAGACGCAGCGTAACAGAGTTGTCGAAAATGCGATTTTCGCTTCCCCAGATTTTTCGGTTTTCAATCAAATTTTTTTATTCAATTTCTCAAAAGCTGAGAACATAATGATGGTATTTTGGTGGAGCAGACTTAAAGCTTCCGAATGCATACAAACACTTTGTTAAATGCTTTGTAAGGTACTGAGAAAAAATTAGAGCAGAAAATGCGAACGAACTTATTTCACAACCTAATATATATAGCTGAATGTTGTTTGTCTGCCTGTATGTATGTCTGTCCGTCTGTATGTACGTATGTTCCGAATATAAATTTTTATTTCTGGACCGATCCGGACCAAACTTGGCACACATACACCTCGGGCCCCGGCGGATGTCATAGGCTACTTTTCGTCATCGATCGATAATTTTATCGATCTTTTCGCAAAGTTTGAGCTACGGGGCTGGGAGATGGCACAAGGGGGTACTCGAGCATGCTGATTACGAATACAATATTAGTTTTTGAAATTGTCTATTACTTTTATCGGTTTTATCGATTTTTTTGCAAGGTTTGAGCTGCGGGGCTGGGAGTTGGCACAGGGATTAATCGAGCATGCTGATTACGAGTACTATATTAGTTTGAAGCTATTCGGCTATCCGGGCCCCAAATTTTTTTTGTCGTAGAGCTTGCTCAAACTTCGTGTATAAGGGTTATCTTACATGCTGATTACAGATATCACACTTTCTCCGCAGAACGTCTCCCCGTGTGTTTACGGTAGGTGTACGTAGGAAGTCAAAATCATGAATTCGGCTGGAGTTCGGTCCAGAGAACTTATTCGACATGCTCATTACGAATTTCATACTCTCTCTGCATATTGGGCATGGGATCGAAAACATAGAATTGTTTCAAACTTCGTTTAGGGTGGTCATTTAGCGCGCTGGGCACGAATATCACGCTGATTTCGCCGGATAGTGCATTATCTTGGGTTACGGTGGGTGTGTATGGGTCGAAGTTCCAGATTTGCCCGAAACCTTACCTGTAACGGTTCACAAGTATACTGCTTATAATATGATGATTGCTCGCTGTCATAACGCATTAGTGAAGCCATGGTAAGTTGCAGGGATTAAATGAGCATTTTCTCGCTTTCGGGCCAATTTAGATCCCAGATATTCACGAAAGGAAACGGTTGTTTTGCATGGCGGTCTCCAGCGCCATCCCGATAACCTGTCCCAACGTGTAACGCACGCGGCAAATCTCCCTCCCCTGTTTTTGCTTAAAGACAGTGTCTCAGCAAAGTTGAGGTCGCGCGGATCTTCACATATTCGATTATAGGGACCTCTAAATAGGCCATTGCAACAAGTCCCACTCAATTTGACCCCCTCCACGCTGAGAAAAATTCGCTCGAAGTGGTACGCGGAGAGCGACTTGGTACGCGCGGACGACTCCTTCGGTCTCCCCCCTTACGCGTTTGAACATGTCCCTCCACTTGGCATCCACCTCCCCTCTGTTGCTGCCACTATGGCTGAGGCTGAAGTTGGAAGGTACAACTCGTCCACGTTGCTTCCGCGGGGCCTCCAGAAATCGGGGTTCTTGGGAACTTCGTGCGATTTTAATCCCATACAGTGCTAGACAGGGTCCGACAGGCTTGCAGAATGCAAAAATCTGGGCAACTAATTTTTGGTGAGACACTGCCTTTAAGGCAAAGGGCAAAAGTCGCCGAAGGGTGTTTCGCGCGCGGCAATGGTCCTATAAGGAGAGCATTACAGTCGTGGGAAACCTTTATACCACACGAATTGTCATTATCATGGGTATCAAGCACGATTTTCTTGAAACAGCACTTTAGGTAATTCCTCGTTAAGGTTTCAGGCAGGTTCATGACTTTTACCCGCTGCCATGTACCTACCGTAACTCTGCGTAAAGGTCTCAAAACTCAACGAGAGTATTTTAGACGTGGTCAGAAGGTCGAATCTCTCTAGACCGAGTTTCAGCCAAGACTGAGATTTCGCCCCTCTGCAGTATACCTACCATAACTCAGTGAAATCGCCTCAAAATGCTGAAGGAGTATGATATTCGTAATCAGCATGTCGATTAGCCCCTCAAGGTTTCAGCGAAATCCATGTTTTAGCTTCTTATGTGTACCCAACGTAAACCCAGAAGATACTATCGCGCGAAATGACTACGATATTCGTCATGAGCGGCTTTAATTATCTCCATGTACCGACTTTGAGCAAGATCCATCACAAAAAGATTTTGGGCCCCGATAGCCGAATAGCGCCATCAGTTTTCAGAATTATCCTTACTTTTACTGGTTTTATTGCTTTTTTTGCCAAGTTTGAGCTACGGGGCGGGGGTTGTTGAGGGAGGTAGGTGGGCATGCTAATTACTAACCCAGCGGGAATAGGGAAATGCATGTAGAAGTGGGCACAGGGAAAGGTTGTATAGTAATAAGAATGAAACCTTTATCGTTTTTGACAGGGCCGGGCGGAGCCGGGTAAGCCAGGTAGTAAACATAATAAAAGAGTCGTAAAGCATAAGAGCATAATTTCGTGGTTAGCATATCAATCAATCTCTGTGCGAAAATTTTCAGCGAACTCTGAGATTTCCCAATATTGGACCATCCAAATGAGATCGTGATTTGCAAACAAGCTATCTTTGTTTGAAAAGTGAGTTAACGACTCTTTTTGCAGTCAGTACAAAGAAGTACTACTTCTTTGCTCACTTTCGAAATCCCTCTTTGATAACCTCTCCTAACCTATCTCCTTTGTTTTTTTTTCGCTTTCTTCTCCTATCCTCGCAATCATACAAATTTTAGCAATTCAGATTATTCCATTATTTTCGCAGTATCTTCCATTTGCATAGGTAAAAAAACGACTATACGACTATATCTTTTCCTAGAAAAAACGATTTCAAATTAGACTTCTCCTATGTAAAGAATAAGTAAGGCAGTAACAAAGATATAAAAAACATAAATTTATTAATGATGTGCAAGTAAGTTGATAGAGTCTGGCGCAACCCCTTAAAAAGTGTGGTAGCCACAGCAGCTTTTCTGGGGTTGTGCCGCACCCCGTTAACTTACCTCCAAAGAGAATTTTAGGGAATTATTTACAGTTTGATAGTCAAAATCTCGTAGTTTTTGTGGAAGTAATTAGAGCTGACTTCGTCTTCTCTCGTTTGAACAATAGTCAAAGAACAACCACTGCAAGCGAAAATTGGGACAAACGAGTTCATGGCTGGATCCTAATTCTATAGTTTGATGGCTATTTAAAGCAGGATTTTTGGTATGGGCAATAGGAAGTAGTGCTATGTATCGGTTACAAAAAACCCAGCTATTCCAAGTTGGAATATGGTTAACCATGTTTAAAAATGCCAGTCACTTGGAGAGCCCAGTGTTGGGAACCCTCCAAATTCGCTAAAACTTGGCCCAAGGGGTTATCTGACATGATGGTCATGATATACATGATAGCCTATTGCTTTTTTCTCGTGATCATTTGTTTTAGCCGACTTCAGGAGAGGAATTTTTTGCCGAGAAAGATGCTTTTCTGTCCGTCAGTGGTCAACTACATTTAGAGGCCATGGTAAGCTTCGTTGTATGTTATGAAATGAATAATTAATCACAATGTCTGTAAATGAGAATTTGCCTACGCGGACCAAGTCCTAGTAGATTTTTTATGTCCTGAGTCATGTCTCTCTTCCGTTAGTTCGTGCTTTCGTACCGTAAAAAAGTTGTGATTGCGCATTTATGCATTGTCTGCTGCTTCGTTGTTATTTCAGCGGCATTTCTCAAGTCCACACGTTAAGCACGAGATGCAGAGCTGATAAGCAGCAAAGCAGGAATCATCTGACTGAATTCAGGATGTTAGAAGCAGAGGTCGCGTTCTGTGACGTAAGTATAAGATGTGCTTAATGCCCTAAAAAAGCTCAGTAGAGCTACAAAAATATGCATTACGAAACAGAATGCATTTTTTGTTGCTTAGTCTCACCACTGTTTGCTTTTAGGATCTCAACATTTTATTGAAAATTACCGAGGAATTCCTGCGCTTTTGTATTTTCAACTTGCTGAGTGATCCGGTGATGATGGACGACTTCGATTCACTTGGACAGTTTTCTGCAAAGGTTCATCACTAACACCACAAAAGGATAATTGTTAAGAACCCTATTACAGGACCACATGTTCGTCTTGGGATCCATTATGGATGCTCCACGCTTTCCCAGATTACCGTATGCTGATGCCGTGAAGCTGTTAACTGACAACAATCAAAAGCTTACCCGGAGGGGCGTCCGAGCAAAAACCGTTCTACATGTTGCGGTCAGCAGACGGAAAATTGGTAACTTTTTGTTGCATTTTTTTAGTTGATAGGATGGGTTTCATCTTACCTTATCATCTTTAAACTGAATCTTTTGATCTACTCTGTCCCGGCAGAGTAGATCAAAAGTAGCTGTTTGTGAGCTTGCTGGTGGATCCATTCGTGAGCCGTCGCCTGAGATCTTGCGGGAAAGGAATCCCTCCGTTGAGTGGTAGGTGGATTGAGATCGAATGATTTGGAAATTTGCGGTAGAGTGTTGTCGTTTCCAGGTACGCAGAGATTCGAGAATGAGGAAAGCCCATGTCAGGTGGATTTGGCTTAGGCTTTAAGAGGT